GGCGAGGTGGATGGCATTTCGGCCATCGCTCCATGCAAACCGCAGAGAACGGTTGCGGCACTGGACTGGAGCTGGCCCGGAAAAGATTCACACTCAGGTTCAAGCAGCCGCGGACTTTGGCTTCAACTTACATGCTCGTTCCTGCCTGTTTCTTTCCCCTTCCCGTTAGACAATTGCGGGCGTCAAAAGCCAGGTGCGTAAATCTGCCGCTGGTTTGGATGGCTTGTCATTCGCTTAGTTCGGTGCGTTGCCGCCCGATGAGCACTTACATCGCTTGGCCATTAAACCTCACGGCCAGCTCGAGAGTTTTTTGCGTCAACAACGGCAATCTCGAAAGAAACAGCCCAAACTGGCCATGGGCATCGATGCCATGAGAAAGAGATTGCGCAAACTTGGAGCCTCCACTGAGGACGTCCCTGGCCTCAGTCCGAGCACCAAACTGAAGCCTGGAGCCCTGGGAGTGCACCTTAGGGCCAGCCTGCGGCGGTTTGAAGAGCGCCAGCAGTGGAAGCAGCAGGGCAGCAAGCACAACATTAGGATGTTGGCTAGGAGGGGCAAGAACGATTCCATCTCCACTTGGGTTTGCACTAAATGTTGTCTGATGTGGCCGAATTGGACTCAGGTTTCTGCCGCCATGAAGGAACAAGTCCATTTTCATTGCAAGGGAAAGCAAGCCCGCAAGGATATTCTGCGCTCCTTAGCTTTCAAAACCTTGTGGAACAAAGCCTCTAAGGCTCGTCGCAAGGAAGTACTGCAGACTTTGAGGCTGAGCACGGTTGAGCAGAGGATCTTGCAGGGCAACTGGGGGCAAGTCCAGAAGATGATAGGGAAGCCGAAAGAACCCTATCACCCCTACAAAAAGGTCCAGAACGCCATCAAGAAACACCACCAACCTGATCAGCTTTGGCGGGTGAGGAATTTTATGGGTCGCAAAGGCCAGCCTATACGCAAAAAAGAGTTGCTTGATATCAAAAAACAGCAGCTGTTGGAGGACGGGGACATCGAGCCACAACCCGGGCCCAGTTGGCAATGCAACGTGTGCTGTGCAATGCTTTCATGGAACGTGATGGTATGTTGTGTTTGTCTCGCGGCAGGAACCGCCACATCCATCGCAAGCATCCTGACATTCCGGCGGGCTGCTTCACAAGATTGGGTCGCGCAGCGGGGTCTGAGGGCAACTTTGCACAACAGCTCGCAGATGTCAACAGGCCGGGGGGTGAGCCCCCTAAGGCCATGTCTTGCAGCTTGTCGAGACCGCGCCGAAGAAGGGGAAGCATGGAGCATCTCAAGATCTGTTCCTGCAACGTGGATGGCAGAGACAACACATACCAATTTTTGCAGTATTGTTGTGCCCACAAACCTCATGCGATCGCAGTTCAAGAAACCAAGGTCGACGAGGCTGGCCTCAACCAGCTTCTCAACTACGCGGGCCGTTTTGGCTATCGTGGATGGGGTTGGGCCAACACGAGGAGTGACAGAAACCGCATTAATGGAGGCCTGCTCATTTTACTCCGCAAGGACATCCGTGGACACCTCCTTCACAAGTATGGGGGCGATGAGGGAGAAGCAATCACCCTTGACCTGGAAACCTGCCACCTGACGAACCTCTGGCAGCGGCCACAGTTCGTCCCGCAAGGTGGGCTTTCTGACTGCCTCGGTCAAGAACAGATGGCAGCGAGACTCGACAACAAGCTTTGGATCGGCATTGGCGATTTCAACGCGGACGTTTTGAAGGCTGATTTTCCTTCTGAAAATTTACAAGCAGTTTTTGCAAGCAACCCGGCTGGGAATCCTCTTCCCACACGGTGGTCTGGCCAGCGCGCCATCGATTATGCTGTCATTCAAGGGCCCGCCTTCCTGGAAGCCGAAGCCACTTTAGATGAGCACAAATTTGGAGATCACAAGGCCGTGCGGGTCACCTTGCAACTGCCTTCCACCAAGTTGCCCACACACAGAATAGCAAAGACGGCGGATTACAGCAAGCCCACGAGCACAGATACCCAACAATGGCGAGACTTGCTCAGCGACAATTGGGGTGAGGATGAAATCCCGGATACCAACACAGAAGGCGAATGGTCAGTTTTTTGTGCCAGGGCGGAGGCCGCCATGTACAATGCCAGCGTGACTATCGACACGGTATCTCAAGGCCAGTGCCGGCCAAAAGGTTCGATGCCCAGGCTTGCGAAACCTGGCTCCTTCGTTTCCTACAAGGAAAGTGAGATGGACTTCCAGCAGAGGAGCCTTAGCCGCTTTGTTGGCAGACTGCATGAGCTTTGCCGCCGCGTTCAAGCAGGAACATCGGTTGACCGCGCCCTGGATGATACAGTGCGAAGAACGTGGCCACGCAACCTCCCTCACACTGGCAATGTCCTGGAGGCACTACAGGGGGCGCTGGCGAAACGACGAAGACGCAAGAGACAACTATCCAAGTGGAGACACGACATGAACTGCTTGGGGTCTAAGGCCACCAAATGGGTTCACAATGACGTCGGCCACACCCCGGCAAGTTTGGTTGGACAATCCGACAATGGCGAAACTGTGGTGGGCAAGTCCGTTGAGGAGAACTTGGTCATACTGCGACAGTTTTGGCGTTCTATTTGGAGGAGAGAAGGAGTTTGCGAGGAGCTACAACGACTACGCTCGGGCACGCTCACTTGCGCTGAAGGAGCTCCACTTGGGGACCTCTTCCTGGAACCTGAAGAACTCATGAAAGCGGCCAGGCGCAAATCTGGCGGTGCTGCAGGGCTTTGCGGTTTTCATGGGGATGAACTATGTCATTGGCCGCTTATTGCGTGGATTCAATTGGCCACCCTGTTGCGCAGATGGGCAAAGCGTCAAAGCTACCCGGCGGTGTGGCAACAGTACAGGCAAGTCAACCTGCCGAAGCAAAACCCTTCTGATGGTCAACTTGCGGCTAAACACACCCGGCCGATATCGATTCAAAGCGCGATATGCCGCACCATCGCTACTGCCTTGGCGCAGAAAGACGAGGTCAAACAATGGGCCCAGCAGCATGTCACACCGGAAGTACACGGAGGAGTTTCGGGCAGAGGGGTGCGCACCGCAGTCCTTGCTTTAGCGAGCAGTTTCCAGCACGAGCACGCGGTCCTGTTATCCCTTGATATGAAAAAGGGCTACGACTATGCCGACCCGGAGTTGGTAGTGGGACACCTTCGCCGACGTGGGCTGCCTGAACATTGGTGCCAATATTTTGTACATGTATGGATGGAGCAATACAGATGGCTGGAATGGGACAACCACGTCTGCCCTGAACCAGAATTCGTTTCCAGATCGCTGCCACAAGGAGATCCGTTTGCAGTTTTGGGCTTTGTGTTGCTTCTGTCCGAGGCCGCCTCGGCTGCAAGGCAAAATGCTCCCCAGCATGAGGTCTGCGCGCTCTTCGTTGATGACAGAACAGTTGTGGTCAGAGAACCCTGCTTCCTGCAGGGAGCTTTCCGGTTTTGGACAGCTTGGAGTTGCAGGCTTGGTTTCGAGGAAAACTTGGACAAGCTCGCCATCGTTTGTGCCAACCCTAGTGATGAGGAGGCGGTCCTGGCCCAGGGCTTTGAAGCAAACGCCGTTGTCCGACAAGCCAAGGTACTCGGCGTTGACTTTCAACAGAGGGGTTTGGATTCAGAGGGCAGCACAGCTGAGATCAGACGGAAAGATGGCCTTGCAATCCTCCAGCGAATACGAAAGGCTCCAGTTGTAGTCGTCACCAAGGAGGTGCTGGCCTCCACTCGGGCACTCCCAAGGGCTTGCTGGGGCGTCTGGTTTCGACAACTCGAGGATAGCAACAAGTTTGGCACCCAAGTCAAGTACGCTGTACAGGCTCACCGCAATGGATCTCGCAATTTGTGGGAGCGAGGCATGCGTTACTGGCGTGATCAAGGGCGGCAATATCAAGGAGGACTTTGGTGGATTTCCCTGGTGACAAGCTTGCGCGGCCTCGGTTTTCGCTACACGGACGGCATTTTCGTGCATGGCACCGTGGGCAGAATCACTTGGCCCCCACCGGTGGATGCGGATTTTGCAGGGTGGCTCGAGCGTGGTCGCCACCTACTTCGCGAAGCTTTCAGGCGTCAACATTTCCAGGCCTTCTTAGACAAGGACCGACGGGACAGTCGACAACTCAGAGATGTTGCCATATACGAGGAAGAGAGGGTCACTCGTGCCCGTACCTTGTATAGGAAGACCAGACATGCCGGCAGGGCAGTGATGCTGGGCGCCGCTTGGAGCACCCTTTGCTACAGCAGAGCTAGAGGTTTGGCGGATGAGCCGATTTGCCGCTGGTGCCATCTCAGGGTGCTAGCCACATGGCATCATCTTGCGTGGGAATGTGAGCATTTTGCAAGCACAAGACCCCCTGAAGTGCCCAATGACAGCTTGTCGCTTGGATTGGGTTGGCCGTCAGGACGGAGCAGTGCTCAAGTACTTGAACACCTGGCGACAGTCAGGGAGGCCGTGAGAGAAGTGGAGGGCTTCCGTGTGAGAAGCTAATCAAGCTGCGAAGGGGTGGTGTGCGCCCTTGAGGCCCTCCGCCCTTACAAGACACCACAGCTTGGCCATTCTTTTCCCCGCCTATGATTTGGGTCTCCGATTCTCATGGTCTGATGCTCGCCTCCGGTGTATTGCGAAGGACGATGGCAGCGCAAGACCTCCCACGGTCATGGCGGTGGCCTATCGCATGTGGTCTGACAGCCGCCAGTCTCCTTAGTGAGTGGAGCAAAGTTTCCAGAGGATCTCGTGAGGGGCCGTGCTACGGTACCTCCTGCAGTTCACAGAGGTAGCGAGTCGCGCCCATATTGGCTGTCGCGTATGGAGCAGTCGACACTGGCGATCCCGTTCTCCGCGGAGCGTATTAGTATTTAGGGTCCTGCACACATTGCCATAACACGCAGACACAAACCAATTTCCATTTCTTCCATTTAATATTCCATTGACCTTAAGCAATGCCCTAAACCCTGAGACTTAAACCTCATGCTCCGCCGTTGAATGAGGCAACCCCTGCCTCGGGGGCGTCGAAAGCAGCTGGAGGATAGCTTGCAAACAGTTGGGACGCTCAGGAGAAGCTCTGGAAATGATGACGTTGAGGGTTTTGGGTCTTTGGACTTCTTTGTGTTAGCTGGGAGGGGTTTTGTGGGTTGTGTAAGGAGCCCTGAAGGACATTTAGAAGGCTACAAAGGTTTAAGGATTGTCCAAAGTATGGGTTTGCTTTTGGCAGTTGCAATGCTGACGATTTTGTTATGTGGCTGTGGTTTTTGGCCACCAGCTCCGGTTTTGTATTTTCTAAGTTTACCTCCGCAATTGTGTTATAGCTGATGTTGCACCATGCCACGGCATCCCGGTGGACTTGGCATAGCCCCGGCCAACTAGGGTCGCCCCGTGTGCACCTTTCATGCACTAATTCCTTGGTTTCAGGCCACGAGCCATGAATCCCCCCTGAGTTGAAAACGGAAATCCTTTGCAAACCCTTTACATCAGCAAGTTGCCATCCCGGTCAAACTTGCGGCTTCCTTCATGCACTTCAAAAACGAGGTGCCGTACCACAACTGCTATTTAAAAAAGGGTCTGTAATCCTCAGAACGCTGCATGACAACAGTTTCCACTATATTTTGCATTTCTTTTCAGGTGTTTTTTGCCACATTCTGCCTTATGTTTTTTTCTAACCCGATATACCGCCATAGAACCCCAATGTAATCCCATTTAGCCCCGTATAGTTCCATATAGCCCTTGGATAATTTTTATTTGATTCTTATATATCCGTATATACCCCTATACGACTCAGTAAGCCCTACACCCAAATCACTGTGGGTTTGGGGTTTTGGGCCTTCCCCTGCTCGAGCCAAGACCTGGTGGTATGGCGCCGCTGGCATGATCATTTTCGCGCTGGTTTTCGCGTGCGTGCCGTGCCCTGGCCTGGCGGTACTATTTAGAGTTAAATAAAGGCTTATTAGGGTTGTGGGTAACTATTACGTAGGGTTTATGGCTTACGGTTCAGGGTTTAGGCTCGGAATAAGTTGTTTCTTATGCAGGTTTGTTGAAACCATTTGGGCACCTTTTTGGAGGATCGCGTGTAGTCTGTTGCAAGTATTCCTTGTCAGAAAATGCGGAACGCCATGAGTTGTTCAGTTCTGAATCCAATCATGTTCCAAACCTTGGACGGTGGAAGTCTGATCCGGAATAAGGTATGGCAGGCCAGAAGATGACAACGTATTTCGGCACGCAAGGAAGTTGATGGAGTCTCCCAATGGAAACACATTCTTGTTACAGATTTCGCGAGTTTGCGTTTGCGGAAACGGCACATTCATGTGGCAAGCAGATGTCAAGGAAGGAACATTGAGTTTCAAGCAAAACCATGCATCAGGCTACATGACATGAATCAAGATTTGTATGGCTGAGGGACAGCTTTCGAAAACACACGTGCAATCCAGAATGCTTGTTTGCAGCCCTGCAGCAAAGCTCCAATTCACATGCAACTACTTTTGCCTTCGGAACTGACAGAGGTCTTCTTGCTGTCACGTACTCGAAGTCAACACCCCGGCAGTGTGTCACGCTTCCAGAGCCTGTTTAGTGAAATCCTTTTCTATTAAAGCCCAAACTGAGGAAAACGGGGGCTTTTCATGGATAATTAGACCCCAACATACTCGTATATACTGGTGCTGTCCTTGCGGTCTCAACGAGGGACATGGCCAACCCTGGCACAACCCTTGTATCACTTTATGCAATCCCTACAGAAGCTCAACATGACCCCCATGTCATCCTCGATATAATCAGGTTGTACAAGATCTACTGCCAAGCCACCGGCCAGGGTCAGGTGCGGTAGGGGAGGGCTCCATAGGGAACTACCATATGGGTTATTAAGGCTGGGAGTTTAGACTATAGCTGATTTCACGGGATGAACAGGTACCAATACTGTGGATGATGATTCCTTGCGCAATTATGTCGCAGGACCTCGAAAAGACCTCAAAATGATGTTGGTACTGATGTAGGCTTCTACAGTACCTGGTCTGGTACGTGTGCTGTTATTCTTCCTAGTGCTGCTGTGAACTTTACGCCTAGTATTGGAAGTACTGTTGCCACGTTAGAACCCTGCCTTCCGCCACGGTAGCCCGCGGCTCTAAACCTGGACAAAGTCAGGCGAAAGGGATCAGCAGCATCTCATTTCCCGAAGTTGTGTGGAAACAAAGAGGTTGTGGGAATGACATCTGGATCAGCATTGCCTGCCTTCCCGGCCTGTGTCAAACCCTAAAGCCTCAATCGTGGTTTCCATTCTATTTTCCATTATCCTTATATCACACCTAATGTACTATGATATACGAGGTCATTCAGATGATCCTTGGCCATGGTCAGACAGCATCTTGAATGAAACAGCATGTAGGATGGGAGATGTCCCTGGCAAACCCTAAACCCCAAATTCAAACGGGATTTCGAAAGTGAAGCAGGGATGGAGCTGTGGCAACACTGGGTTGTAGGCAAAGTGTTGACGGCCCAGATTCGGGAGGTGTACATGAAGGATATTTGGGAAGCAATCCTTGCCAGACAGTTGATGCTGAAGAAAGGGAAATGCAGGTGTGAAAGAGGACGATGACCGTGACAAGGCGTGTGAAAAGTGAAGCATCTTCAGGGAAGTCAGTGCAAAGTGTTCGATGGCCCGCTCGGTTGAAATGGCCTTTGTCCGACTGCTGGCAGGAGGATCAAAAGGAAGGCTTTAAAACAACTCAAACGGGATAACCCCTACATGGTTAGGGCTCAGGGTTTAGGGTTTAGTTTAGAGTTTAGCGGTAGCCCCCCACGTAACCCCATAAAGGTACCCTTGAGACTAGGATATGGGTCTGGACGTAGAGGAAGGGGCCAAACAAAATTATACGCCAGGCCTCAAGCCCCAAACCCTACGCACCCCTAATAGGGGGACCTCAATATAAACCCCCAATAGCATAGTCCTTATTATAGGAACCCCAAAAGTACACCTAAATTCACAACCCTTGCAGTGGGATGCTTCTCCAGGCATCCGCAGTTGGTCACAAGGAGTACTCGCCGCCGCCGTCCAAGGACGGTCATGGGAGTGACAGGGTGTTAAGCTGAAAGTTTAGTTTTTTTTGGGTTGTAAAGGTATTCGAATTTTCAAGGTTTGGGTGTTAGGGCTTAGGAAGTCAGGGGCCCATACTTGAAGCAGGCCAAAATCCCTAAAGCCTAAACTACGTTCATTGCTCATCGCTTGGTCCTCCAGCAGGCTCACTGATTGTTGGGGTACATAGAGTTACATGGAGTCAAGTAACCGCCCGGGCCAATGGTCCTTTGCCCTGGATTCAAGGAAAGAGGCGTTGCTAAACAAGAAGCTACCACAAATTGAAGCTTCCATTCAATTTGCCAGTTTGCCACTGTTTTTCGAGTAGGTGCGACTCCGCCCGTTTATTGAAACCCATCTGTACAGCCTAAAACCTGAACCCTAAACCCTAACCACCAAACTGGGGTACCCCTATTCATGGATACCCTAAACCCTAAACCAAGTGGGTCTATACTGGGGTCCCCCTCTAAACCCTAAATCCTAAAGCCTAAACCCTAAGCCCTACATCCCAGAGTCAGGAGTCCGTGGATGCAAAGCGCCTCATCACCGTCGACTTCGCGGCCACGGCGCGGTACCTGGCTGTTGGCGGGTGAAGGGTTGTTGAGGGATAGATCAGAATATCTTTAGTTGCATAGACTTATGCAGAGTTATAAGGTTGTGATGGGGATTTATAGCACTATATAGGGTTGTACCAGTTTATGTAGGGATCTACAGGGATATGTAGCAGGATAGATGGTTATAAGGGGCATGTAGGGGTATATAGTGTTTGGGAATCAGGCTGAGAAGCAGAGAACTTAATGGACAAGGAAATGGGAAATTAAATGACAACTGGATGTATATGCTAGGGAAGAGCCAAGTTCCAACCAGGTCATGTCCTATCGTCTGTCATAATTAACTTGCCGCAAAAGAAACCTCTAGTGTTTCGCAAAATGCCTACCTAGGTTTGCAGCAAACCTAACCGATCTGAGTGTGCCCCCCTTCGGGATGCAGATATGTCACAACCTCGCGTCGTAACTCAGTGGTGGGATCTTCGTGTGTTCCTGATCCAGGAATCCGATGCCTTAAGCCCAGAATGAAAGGTGTTTTGAAGAAGGGGGTTTGGAGTGACTACGAAAGGCATCCTTGCAAGGATCGGTATTGTAGTGCTGTTGGGTAACAACTGCTCGTGGCATAACCCCTCAACCCTGCCACTTGTACTGTACCCAAGCCCAGTTGCTGAACCCCAATGCCACGACCTGGAAACCATGCGCAGGTCGGCAACTAGTTGTAACTGTGATTCACTAGTACAGCTGCCAGGCTAACAAGTTTGCACAACCCCACTCATCATTACCCACGGACCTGGTACTCTTAGACCCTAAGCTGTCCATACTAAGCCAGAATCTGAGACTTCATCAAAAGCTCCGCTGTCCCGAAGATTTGGCGGCTTCCAAATCTTAAGTGTCTTTGTGGAGAATTCGTAAATTCAGGATTGCTGTGGTGTCATGATATTTCGTTGAAAAATGAGGGGATCCTTGTCTGAAATTTGCCATTTAGGTGCACACGTCCTTACCGTGGCAGTTCGTCCCACAGCAGCGACGCGTCGTCGTTGGCCTTGGGGACCCCTGGAGGGCTGAAGCTTGAAGAGCTGAACTTGGAGATTCAGGATTTAGGGTTTAGGATTTAGGGTGTAGGGTTTAGGGTTTAGGGGTTCATGAGTGGCTCGCTATAAAGGAGGTTATTATGGAGTTCTTGGTGTTGTTGGTCACAGGGTATCTAGTATGGCATGGGGTGTCCTGAGTGAGGTAGGAGGATGCAACCTAAACTTTAGGTGGACCCCCACCCAGTAACAGTGACTATAAGGGATAATAGGGATTGTATCAGGGTCCTCTTATATTGCTATTATACCACTATTAGAGGGTGGGGGGTCCTCCTAACCTAAACTTCTCATGAACCACCAAGGGCGGAGCTCAGGAGGGCTCATGAGCAACATACCGACTTCTTATACGCTTTTCCATGAGCGTTACATAGGTTTCAGCGATGAGGGTATAAGTCTTTTTTAAGTTTGCCGGTTTTTCAAAGTCTGACTTTTTGTTCAGCGCCCCTGCGAGCAGAATTAGGTTTTGAAGCCATTCTGAAAAGATTGCTTCGGGAAATGGGGTTTCAAGAAATGAGGGGCTCTTCTCTGGGGGTGCCTATCACAAGGATCATCGCATAGGGGGGTTTATATTTCGGCATCAATTTACCCCCCCCCCCGCCCCCCCAAACACAATGCCCATTGGAGATTTGAGTTTTCCGAAGACACAGTACTGAACAATGATCGGGAGAGAGAGAGAGAGAGAGATAGAGAAAGTAACATTCCGGACGAAAAACGTTCGACAGACCGCAGTACCGGGGCCTAGACTTCGTCCATAACCTGTTTTGCGCAATTACCCCGAAAAGAACACAGCGGTCACATACAGGGTGCGAATGACGTTGCAAAGCCATACTCCAATGGGTTACCACCTTACCACCTGTCAGAAGTCAACAAGTATTCAAGACCAGGCAACAGAGAGCGCATCACCAAGTTGCCAGACCAACAACAAAATCATGATCATCCTATTTCCCAACACCTTCCCTAGAGGCATGAGACCAAGAACAAGGATGATCATGATGGCAAGTTTGGGTCCACAGAGCCGCGGTAACAGGGGCTAAACATCCTCCCACAAGCTGTTTTTCGCAGTTACCCCCAATAAAACACAGCGACTAGTCACAGCAGGCAAGGTCGCAGAGTTGTTGCAAGGCCGTGAATCCAGAGTACATACATAAATCAGATGGAATCATGCCTTCAAACATAGATTGAGTAACAAATCATGGCCAGTCAACAGAGCAAGTTTCACCAAGATTGCCAGATCACCGACAATCATTATTCCCCCCCCTTCAACTTCTAACCCTCAACCTCCATTAAGTAGGAAGAGACGGTGATCACAATGGCAAGGTAGCAAACTAGTTAAGCCTCACAAGGATACCGCTTGTGACGCAGTTCCAAAAGCTGGGAAAGAGAGATACTACCCCCAAATTTTTGATAATACTAGGGCCCCAAGGTGGAATTCCCAGCAATTATGGAACCACGAGGGGCTGGGCAATGACGCCCGGAGATGGGGTTCACCCCCTCTCCATAGCCTGAACGAAAGAAAGATAGATAGAGAAAGAAAAGTAAAAGAAAAAGACAAACTCTCCCAGCAAACGTTGAAATTGAAATCCTCGTCTGATGAGCTTTCGGTCGAACTTCCTCAGATATAGGGGTTTCCAACAATTAGGGGTACCATTTTGGGGGTCCTATAATAAGGATTATAGTGTTTGGGGGTCTCTGTTGGGGTCCCCCTATTTCGGGAAACTACCATATCGAAACCAAGGAAGGCTCCCCAATGTTTGGGTTGCGTTGATCTTGGTGACCTTTTGCCTTACTGAAGTCGCTTCCGTTTCTTTGCCATATTGAGGTCGCTTCCGTTTCATGGTAATGCAGCAGCTTTGTATTGTATGCTTAAATCTTCTGACCTTGGATACGCCCTAAACCTTAAACCCTAAACTCACATGGCGTCTTTAGGTCTACAGAACCCTTCTGAAGGTTCGCTTGAAACCTTCCCATGCAATGCAAGGTCACCCTGCCGCGCTCTTTGAAGATGATGTAGGTCCTTGGAACTCTTGGCTTACTGGTGCATAAGGGAGAGGGGGGGAGTGGATCCCTATAATAGTCCCTATGTAATCCTATTATATAGATAGTATGCCTCTATAATAGTCCCAAGATTCATTCACCCGGCCCCGCGGAAGCACCAGCAAGTTGGTGGGGATAGGAGACTGCCCTGGCTTTCTACCGCGCCAAGCCGGGGGGCCCATTACCTTGGTAGCAGACTAGGTGTGTGGATATCTAGGGTCCCTTACACGGGGTTCTCGGGATAAATACGGGAGATCTATATCTATATACACATGGTAAAGGGCTATAGGGATATAGGATTTGGGGATAAGTAGGGATATTACCCCAACGATGGAGAATCAAATGAAAAAAGAGATGGAAGCCAGGATTATGTAGACATGTATAGGGTCCCCCCAACAGGATTGCAGAGATATGCTGTAGGGAGTAGACTTAGGAGGCGGGAATGGGAACGAAAATCAGTTGGAAAGCAAGCTCAAGAACCGGGGTGCATAGGGATATGTTGGGTTGAGGGTTATTTTGGTGGTTACTAGCAGAGGATCAAGGAATGGAAATGACTTATACTATGGGGATTGTACGTAGTATCTGGGTAGGTACACTTTACAGGTTTGTGCTGCTAAATCCATTTTAGATAACCACTTGTAGACCTTTCGGCCTAGCGAACTCCGCAACGGCGTGAGGCATATGCTGGGATGTCTCATACTTGCGGTGGATGTAACGACTTTGAGTACAGGAGTCACTTCTTTGTAGCACCACTTGCAGCTGCAAAATGCAGCTGATATGTATGCAGGTCTCATACAAGCATTCAATGAGCCTCAAGAGTCTGAGCAAGTAGTGGAAAATGTCGGACACATTCTTGAGACCTTAGGAAGGAAAGCTGCAACAAGTAAGCTCCTCATTTAAACAGAGCGGCAGTCTTGCAGCGCTTGGGGACACTTGGCCTCTCGTGATATATTTCTGAAGAACTGGGTCCTTATCGCAAGTACCCCCAAAAGCTAGACATCTGATTTTGGTGGCACGCCCTCATATGAGGAACACGAGCGACCGCCCTATCATCGGCGTGTCTGTGTACCACATGATCCCTGCAGAGGTGGTGGTGGTTCCGCGCAGTGGAGGGTGGTAAATGTCTGTGGGAGCAGTTTATGTACAAGCCTGAAGAAGTAGGCATGTGATTCCTTTTTTGGGACTTTTCCACCTTTGTTTAAGATGTATGCGGTTGCCGTAGGGCTGCTTCAAGACAAAACCGCGGGCAACATCACGCAAGATTCTGGAGGGTGGGTCAGTCACAGGTCCGGGTTTCTGTTGGTGTGTAGCGCGCTTTATGGGATTCAATAAACCTGTTTTCGCGCCAAAATTCCCTTTGTCGATCGAGAACTCAGAAGACAAATCGTTGGTGAAGAGCTCGCCACTGCAAGATATCCTGCACCAGCGAGAATAATAGCTGTAAGAGCAGCAGCCGCTGGCAGCGGCGGCAGCGGCGTCGTCGTAGTGGCAGCAGTAGAGCAGTAGGAGTAGTAGTAGTAGTAGTAGTAGTAGTAGTAGTACTGCGCAGGAGTTGCGATTGTAAGCTGTAATTCAGCAACTCCGGGCACATTGTGTTTCAGGGTTGGCTATCGGCGAAGAGCTTTCTTCCGAAAGCTTTACAGGGGCGCCATGTTGTTTTTTGGATATCATGACCAGTCCCAATGCCAGTTCTGGCATTTTTTCTCGAGCTGTATCCTGGAGATTTGTCGGATTAAATGGTTCATAGGTGTTCCGTTCAGGTTGCACCATTCTGGTGCGTGGCGACACGGTAGGACTCCATGATGCCCCAAGAGCCTGTTTCGGTATAGCGCTCAGCGCTCAGAAGCGCAGCTCCTTTCATACCACAGTTCTAACGTTTGGGGTGTTCTGAGCCAGGCGTCCGGTACCTGATTCAAGCAATGCGCCTGCAATTCTGTGCCAGCTCGAAAAGTCCCAGTCCACCACAACGGTTTCGACCCCCCCTACCCCTTCCTAAACTCAGACACTGAAGCTCCAACATGCCGCAGCAGTACAACACCCTTGTCGTGCGCAGAGGCAGGGCTTTACTTCAACAAGCATCTCGGCTGTCTCATCCACACCCATTTAGGAAGCTGAATGCCTAGATTGCATGTTGGCTTTTTTCAACTAGTGGAGATTATGGCGTCTGATGACGCTATCCGATCTTCCTCACGCCTTTGAACTATTTGGGTCCCCTCTTTCACCTATGAAATACGGCAAAGACACTTTCCAAACTCCGCCATATGTGTTTTCAGCGAGGATAGCGCAGCTTCAGGAAGGAGTGCGAGATAAATGGTGGAGGATGTCGTAGGGTTCCCATGTTTATGGGTGTGTGTGGCCCCTCTGGTTTGGGCGAAGATCGCAAGCAAAAGATCTCAGAGCTGGACACCCTTCTGCGTGATCCCCTCCACATTAAACCCCCCCCACCCCCCCTTATATAAAATATTCCCAAAATATTTTAGTATACAACATAATTGGACCTTTTAATATTAGGGGGGGGTTCAATACTAGGGGGAGGGGATTATTGGTGCTCATAGGGAATGGAGTAATTGAGGCCTCTAGCAGCGCCTATGTAACCCCAAGAATAGAGTGTTTTTTTTATTCCTTCATGCCTAAACCCTGAATCCTGCATAGTAGTTTCATGTGAGCTAGAGTCCGAAATCCTTAAAGGGGGTTAGATAGATAGGGGACTATGATAGGGGGTTGTTAAGGAGGATACTTGGAGTTTGGACTATGGCTGATGTAGCTTCGAGTTTCTTTTCCATTATTTGGTAATATGTCTGTCTGACCCTCAACCCTAGACCCTAAACCCTAAACTGTAAATTTTGAGCCCAAAACCCTAAATCCTAAACCCTAAATGTCCATACACGTAGCGGCAACGCGCAAGTCTGAGGATCCAGTGCTTCTGCTTTGATGAGCAGCTGATCAACCCAGGCTTCGATTGGTTTGGAAGTTAGGGTTTCGGGTTTAGGAGCAAGGGTTATACAGAGACATTAACACAGTCCCCGTTAAGTAGATAGAATATGGCTTTGGGTATATAATATCAAGATCCCCATGCACCCCATATTCTATCTACTTAAGGGGGACTATAATTCGAAAGAAGAGGGAAACTACATGAAACTACTAGACAGGATTTTTCGTGATGTAAAAAGAAGGGTAACGGAGTCCTCAGCCGTGGCAGCAGTACAGCGGGACAGTCGCACGCAGCAGTGGCAGGAGCAGAAGAAGACAATGAATACCAACCTAAGAACCTACGCCAAAGCATGCCACTTGTCCCGGTATCCCCAGCTTCTAGGAGGTTCATGGGCTGCAAACCCTAAACCCTAAACCCTTATCCTGAAACCCTTAACCCTAAACCTTTTCCTGCCTAGATCGTGAACGCTTTGCAGGCGAGGAAGTAGATTTGCCCATCTTCTTCTTTATCGCGGCCCGGCTTTGTCTAATCACAGATGCACATGTCGACAAAGCAGAGGGAAGTTTTCATGTGTTAGTATCCCAAAATGAGGGGACCCCAATGTAGACCCCAAAATATTATAATCCTCACTAGAGGAACCCTTAAAAGGGTGCCCCTAGTTTTTGGGAACCCCCATGTTTTTAAGCCTCCAGAAGATCCGCGATCTTCTACGACTTAAGCCATTATCTGGGTTATATTGGGATGATATAGGGTAAAGGGATAATGATAAGAACATTGAAGCTACCACATTACAGTTAATGCGAAGTAATTGGGTATATGTTGGGGTTATATGGGTTTAAGCTTCCTCTGCTATGAGAACCATTCGGGCTCATGTTATATGGTGGTCCCAATGAATAGGGGGGCTCCAATATAGATTCCGATATACGATGATCCTGATTATGCGGACCCACAAAAAGGGACCCTTGATTTCCGGAAACCCTGAACCCCAAACCGTAAATAATAGTTTCCATTTTCTTTTCCATTTTCCCTATTTGATCCTTCTTGCCCTGTTATGATGCAGTAGTTTCCATTTTCTGTTCCATTATGGCAATTTTAAAGGGTACCAATAAGCATATCCCCATCTTCCCTGAACCCTAAACCTAAACCCTTAACCAAGGATCCCATGATGGGGCGTGACAAGTGCGCCTCTCAGCCTCTAATGCTGCGAGTGGTTTGAGCTTAAGGGATTTGGGAGTTGCAAAACTTGGAGCACCAGAATACACCCCTTAAGAGTCCGTAAGCAATTCTACTTTCCATCATCCTGAGATTTTGGGACACGCTCATGTGTCAGCTGGGATGAAGTTGCGCTGAGTTACTACCCAAGCTGCTCAGTCCTACAGCAAAATACAGGCAGCGCTACAAAGGGTATGTCTGAACCATTGAGTTCTATTTCTCAAGTATGCGCCCATTTCAAGAAATCCCTGCACCTAGATCCCTCAATCCCCAAATCTAGCCATCTAGGTGCTCATCTATTCCCTGTCCCGGTGTGAGCGATTGTCAGTATCACGTAGTGACCATTAAGTAGTTCGGTATCATCCCTAAGAAATTCCCAAATAGCAGCCCGTGATGTCCTTTGGTGATACGCGAAAATTGAATGTAGCCCATGCGCAGTCGTTTCGACCACGTGGACCACATCACGCTGTCCTATCTCTTTTTCGAGTCCGACTCCGAGTTGCCCGACGAGTACGAGGCGCGGTGGCAGGGGGGTTGGGGGTCGGACTGAGGGTTTCAGGGTTGGGCTCTAGGATTTAGGGATTTGGGTTCTAGGGTTTAGGGATATGGGTTCTAGGATTTAGGGATTTGGGTTCTAGGGTTTAGGGGTTCTTTGAAGTAGGGCTTTGGGGATTGGGGGTTAGGGCGCGGCGCCCGTGGGGGATATGTAGGGATGATGACAGGGTTCCGGGTGTCTTAACATCATGATTGTTTATTTGTTCATGGCCTCCCGCAATCAGGGTGCTGGATGCACCTGGTAGTTTCCCCAAATAGGGGGACCCCAATATAGACCCCAAGATATTATCATCCTTATTTTGGGGACCCCCAAAATGGTACCCCTAATTTAGGGAATCCCCCACTTGTGAGTGGACTTGATGGCCAGCAAGTTCACCCCCACGAGTTGTTTCCGGGCACGCAGCAAGCCTTTGCGATGGCTGAAGAGCTCTCCGTCTCAAACTAGCGGATGAAAACAAGATAGTTATTATCATTATTATTCTCATGAATACTCGTATCTACATTAATAATGTAAATTTTTAATAATGCTGAGAATAGTACAGCCTTTTCATGGAATTCTAAAGATGCGTTGCTTGCCTTGTTAATCTCTTACAATTGCATTGTCTGGCACAGGAGTTCAAGAAGAGCATGCCTTCCAGCAGTCGCCTCAGAAGGGACTGCCTGCCTGCACAGCTCGGATCCTGGAGGTATGGGGCCATCCATGGCTTAGATTACAACTACGTATAGATGTCCCATTTATCATCCCACCAAAAACTACCCGTGAAACTCCCAACAGCCAAATTCCAGTTGTGTCACTACTACGACTGAAAGCGGATTTTTTTGTGTGTGTAATGTTCTTTTTCTAGCACGGGTAGCGTCGAGCCTGGCAGGAAGCGCTTTTACCTCTTTCCAGGAGTGCGGGAATCTCTTGCAAAGATGCACTTCTCATTTGCGTCTGCCGGCAAACAATTTCACCAAGGGATTCTGGAAGCTTGAACGAGGCTCCCCTTAGAAAACTCTCAGGCTCATTATGACTAAAGTGCTCCTGCTGTGAGTTCTCGCAACACTCCTGGCACTTTCTGCGCGACCCCCCGCCATTATTATTGTCAATATCATTATTCTTACTGTTAATATTATTACTACAATTATCTTAATAGTACTATTACTATTAATAGGTTTCATACCCATTGTTTGGCGCGCTTGGCGGCGACAAAGTGTAGATTTTCATTGGCAGGCGCAAAGGATTTGCACGCGAGCTGGCAGAAGACATCTACAACAAAATGTGGATTTAGGACGTTTACGCAATCATCTCAGCACTTCGGCTGCGCGCTTTTTGAGGGACTCAAAGCTGCAAGCCAAGATAACTGCACGTGAGGGGGAATTTATATCCTTGGAAATTGCAACGCGGAGGTAATCTTCCAACGCACCTATGGGCACCGCGGAGAAAGCCAGAATGGCCTGCAGCTCACGCACATAGCGACCGGCAGAGCACCCTGCAACCAAGGAAGAATGAGGTCGCGCAAGCCATGTAAGATAGGAGGATAAATTCACATCCCTGAAACACACTCCGAACATGAAGACATGACGTCCCTGACACATGTATGATTGCGCGAGAACGGAAAGCTGGTCCTTAAAACGCTCAGAGTACTGGATCCAAAGCCAGAAGACGAGAACTGCAGTACCCAACGGCAGGGCGAAACCCCGACGCCCCACACCAGGCTGGAGCAGCAAAGTGCCGCGGACTCTGCCGATTGAAACGTTGAACCAGTGTACAAGAAGCGAGGTCAACAGGACGAAATCATCTCCGCCCCACACCCTCCCACACCCACCACTCAACGCTCCCTAAAACCTTAAAGCCCACCCCACCTGAAGCAACTTGTGCCGTTCTGTGCCCAGAACGAGAAATGCGCGGCAAACGAAGATGGAACCCAATTAGTAGTAATACTATGATTATAAAGAGGGTATTAGTATGATAGCATGATAATGTTAATCGTAATAACAATGGTAACAATACTACTAATGGAAATAACAATAATAACAGTAGTATTAATGGTAATACTGATATTAAGGAACCCAAATCACAACCCCTGACCATGGCAGAAGGTCAGAAGCCAAAAGTGCTGGACGCGCCGGCGCCAGTGCCGGTGCCCTTGCCGGCCTCCGCCTCAGCGGGTCAACGGATCCCTTTCATGATCCCTGTATGAGCTATAGTCTAAACTCCTTAAAGGGAATTGTATAGGGGATTATATAGGGTACTATTATACGGGTTATTAAGGGGGATACTAGGAGTCTCACCTGAAAGCTGAAGTAAAACCACACCTACTCCAAAAGGTAGTGTAGAAGCCTGATTGAGGTACAGCTCTAGTATCATGTACCCCCAGACCCTATTTTATCTAGTTATTGATGTCCCTGTATTCAACCATGCGTGTCTGCAGGCGCCAGTACCTGCCTGAGCCCGCGCCTGAGAGATGGGACTGCCATGGGCCTTCGCCGACATTTCATCACCTCCTCCTAATATTAAAGCCCACCTTAAAGGGGGTGGGGCGTTTGTTTTTGGGGGGAGAGGATTGCCCGCATGTTGAGAAACTTGCCTTTGTTGGTCAGAACTGCCACGGTAGACTGGTATCACATTTGCATACTGATGGCTATCATTCATGTAGCTCTGTTTAGATCGTGGTATCTGTGGACAAAGGCACGGCTGCAATCTCCAATACCCCTTAACTAAGGAACATACGCTGAATGCTGATAGGACCCCATATGACTTGTGGGTTATTTTTTTGAAAAAAATCCCCACAAAAATCTTCTTGAACTGCCTTCGGGCCTCTGGACCGATGCTGACCCAGGTGCTCCCGAGTGAGAGCTATGGCACGCGGTGCTCGCGTCGAAAAGACTGTCAAATCAGTTCTCCAAATGCATAGGGTCCCTGTGCTATGCGTTGCATCAAGAGAAAATGGAAACTACTATAGTACATTATTCATAGGGATAATGGAAAAGAACATGGAAACTACTAGAGTATATTGGGGCTACTCACAGGGATAATGGAAAAGAACATGGACCCTACTATAGTATATAGAGTACCTGCAGGCATCTGGTTGGTGGCCTCTGAATGCATCCGTGCCTCACGATTGCAGGAAGTTAATGCAATCTCGGCGCACCGCGCATTGCCAGCGCAAGCACTGGCAAATAAGCAGCCGCTCGACGTAAACGCACAGGTTCCATTGTCTTTTCCTTTATGCCTTTATTCCTTATATAAACCCTTTATGTTTATATGCTGCAATGATCCAGTGTGTCGCCGCTTCACACCAGACACGGGCTGTAGTCTGAAGCTGAGCTCTGAACTTTAAGTTAAGACGTGGAGCCCAAAGCAAACAACTCAAAACCTTCAGCCCCAAGCATTAACTCCACATTTCAAATTTCTTCACCCCCCCCAACACAAAGGCCTTCTAACTTCTAACGTTCCTGACACTGCAACATCTCGCAGCCCTGAACCAGAAGTTCAAAGAAACCTGAAGCCCGAATTCTTGTGTCGTCAGTCTTCTTTGATCTCTACAAAACATGATCACTCGAGACCTTGAAATTTCCGAAGCTTTCAGGGCGTCAATTCCTACCCGTCGAACTTCAAAAACCCTCTAAGCTCTGGACCTTCAAGCCTCTGAATTCTAAACCCTAAGCCCTAAACCGTAAATGCCACACCCTAGAGTCGAAAGCTTACTTTTGTAGCCAACTGCCTCGAGCATCATGGAGCGGCCCTGTGACGCGGAGCTGCCCGCGCTGCTGCCGCAGGCATCCGCAGTTGCACATCCAGCTCAATGTACACAACCTCTCATATAGGGTAATATTGGGGTTGTCTTGGGATAATGGAAAAGAAAATGGAAACTACTATAGTATATTGGGGTTATATTGGGATAATGTCTTGAATATCTACCCCTCCCCAGCATTAGGGCCTCTAGAAGAAGACAAATAGGAGTCCTCGATAAGGCTCCCACGGTACTGAGAGCCCTGGGGAGGTTTGGGGACTACTTTAAAAGGGGATGGTCTGGATTCGGTTAGGGGCTCAAAACCAACACATATTTAACAGAGTCGTGAAACAACAGGCCGAAACTGTTTAAGCGGCATCCAACACTCATTAAATGGAGTCCCTTGGCAAAACTGAGTGCAACATCAAGGTTAAGGGTTTGGGATCTTTAGGTTATGCTTTTGGGTGAGTGTTCTTCTTAATGCTGCTTAAGGTGGAAGTGGATCCCCGCAGTAATCCCTCATGAAAACCCGTAACAGTCCTTTAAGCGGCAGTACTGGTTGTGGGGCTCCTCAGGAATCGTGGCAAGTGTGTGTGCGGGGCATCCATCTGGGCCAGATGATGTTTTAAATCGAACCCCACTTGGGGGGTCTCCAAAATTTAGGAGTCTTGTTTTGGGAGTCCATGTTCTTTTCAATTATCCCAATATAACCCCAATATACTACAGTAGTTTCCATTTTTCCATTGTTCCTGTATAACTGCAATATTTCCCTATATGAGGGGTTGTGTAGTATTTTGGCATGAAAGCAGGGAACCTCTGAGTTTTTGGAGGACACAGGGTAAAAGACCTGTACTTAAGGCGAAAACAGGGAGCAGGAAGTAGGTGTGCTGGGACTGCAAGTGAAGTGTACGATTTTCCGGTGTGGTTCGGCTATGTGAAAGCACACAGGGCATGGCAGGATGGCTTCCAAAAACCTAGTGCTAACATTGCTTAGCGTGGTTAGGGGGTCATCAAGCTGCGAAGGTGCTGCCCATGCTGGAGTGGTTGGAGATTCGCGAGGGCCGCAGCAATCCTCGTTTCAGCTCCAGCTGAAGTATCTGATTTTTTTTTGGGTTTTCGGATTGAAGGCTTTAGCGTCAAAATTGTCTAGTGGGGTCACCAGTTGGGTTGCCTTGGGACCTTTTTTACATGAAATGTTGGCAATATCCCAGCATTGTGATGTAGTTCCCCGCACGGACACGTAAAGAATGGCGGGCGTGTCTGTGGCGTTTCATCCGAAGCCTCGCCTGTCAAGCATGAAGCGGGCTGAGCACCAAACCCCTTGACCTCGTGCGCTGACGCTTGGAAGCCTTCGTTGCAGTCCCAAGCTACCTCCTCGAAAAGTCCACTAGAGTCAATGAAGAACCTCCTCAGCTTTTGATGTACTTGAAGTAAACTATAGTCCTTATTATGGGGACCCCCAACAAGGTACCCCTAATTTAGGGCACTACCCATATATCCCTTCCCCCCCCTGAAGTGCCCTCTGAAGCCTTGGCCATTGCTGAGACCGCATTTGTTTGGCTCAGCGCCGATGCGGCGAGTTGCTCCTCCGGGCTGGGCAGGGCGGCCGGGACAAGGGGAAGGGATATATGGGTTTAGGGTTTAGGGTTTAGGGTGTAGGTACCTACTATAATTAATGGAGAATCAAATGAAAAAGAAAATGGAACATGAAATGGAAACTGGGCTTATATAGGGGATTATAGGGATTATAGGGATATATGAGCAGTAGTTTAAACTCCTTAAAAAGGATGACATAGGGGATTATATAGGGGACTACTATAGGGGTTCTTGAGGGGGATACTAGGAGTTTAGACTATAGCTCATACGGGTAGTGCCCCAAATTAGGGGTACCTTTTTGGGGGTCCCCATAATAAAGACTGGG